ATTTCTCTGATAACTAAGAATGTTGAGCACTTTCTTAAGTGTCTTTTGGCCATTTTGATTTCCTCTATTGAGAACTCTCTCTTCAGTTCTGTATCTCACTTTTTAATAGGGTTTTTTGGTGTTTTGGTGACTAGTTTCTTGAATTCTTTGCATATTTTTGAGATCAGCCCTCTGTCAGATGTAGGGTTAGTGAAGATCTTTTCCCAGTCTGTGAGCTGCCATTTGGTCTTGTCAATTGTGTCCTTTGCCTTACAGAAGCATCTCAGTTTGAGGAGGTTATCGCGGTTAAATAAGGATCAGGATAAACAAATAGGCCGAATAGATGTTTATTCAGGGAGAAATAACTTACAACCTAGACAGATGAACACCAGGAAATTCAACCCGATCCTCTCCTGTCCGAGTCATGCCAACAAGAGAGCTTCTCCCAGCTCCGACTTTCTTCCACAGGTCACTTCAGCCCATGGCTCCACCCCCAATGGGCGTGGTCAGTGCCACAGAAGGACTATCTCACTACAGGAGGTCTCATTTATTAATTGTCGAACTTGACAGGTAGACCAATGGAATCGGATCAAAAAGCCTGATATTAATCCACACACCTATGAACACTTGAGTTTTGACAAAACAGCTAAAAGTATACAATGGGAGGAGGAAAGTATCTTAAACAAATGGTGCTGACGCAACTGGATGATAGTGTGTAGAAGAATGAAGATAGACCCATGTATATCGCCATGCACAAAACTCAAGTCCAAATGGTTCAAGGACCTGAACATATATCCAGCCACACTGAATCTGTTAGAAGAGAAATTGGGAGGTACCCTTGAACCAATTGGTACAGGAGACCGCTTCCTGAACAAAACTCTGGTAGCACAGACACCGAGATCATCCATCACTTTTAAATGTGGCCTTTCACAGGGTCTCAAGACTTGAACAAAATGCAATTGATTATAGATAGGCAGCTCACAAATCAGTTTTTCTAAAGAAACTTCATTTCCATCTGAAATTCAATAAGCATTGACTTTAGTATTCTCATTCCTATAAATATAACCAGAATCACCTGAAAGCTTTGCTTCATGCTTTCATATATTTATCTAGATGGCTTAATAATCTTTTCTTAATTCTATCCTAAATCTGATTCCAAAGACTCTACCACATTTGTAAGTATATAGTAATGACAAAAATGTCTTATCTTTTTATGAAGGCTATATTAAGCAGCTATCTAATTCTATAACAAATATATAAGTTAATAAACTTTAAAAGAGGCAAGGTTTATTTTGGCTGCTAATTTGTGAGATATCAAGTTATTATAAGTAAACATGTAGATTTTAGGGCTATTTCACAGAGGCAGCACAATATGATTGGAACAAATAGCAAAGTCACTTACCCTGGCTGAGAAATAAGAGAAAAAGGGGAAAGAACCACTTCTTCTGAGGGCATATACACAGTAGTGTAGTACAATGAACTTTCATCTTCGCTGGAAAGTTTAAAGATTTCAGTGCCCTGCCCCCAATAACACCAGGCTATGAATCTTGTAACCCTTTACTATATGGATTTGGGAATGTACTTTGAACTAAAACAATAACAGGTAGTATAATTTTACATGTCTTTTGATTAGCACATGTCTTTTTAATTATGAAATTTTATTCATTGCTCCTTTATTTTCATGACAGATTTCATGAATAATTAAAGCATGGATATATATTTTGTTGATTGTATCTGTATCTCTAATTTTTGTCTTATTTTTAGGTATTCTTTAAATCAGAGACTGGATTAGAGTAGTGGCTCTCAATATTCCTAATGCTATGACCCCTTAATATAGTTCCTCATATTGTGGTAACTCCCAACCATAAAATTATTTCCAATTTCTATTTCATAACTGTAATTTTCCTATGGTTATGCAAATATCTGATATGCATATGGTATTAGGTGACCACTGTGGAAGTGTCGTTTAATCCTAAGGGGATCATGATTCACAGATTGAGAACCTCTGGATTAGATATTTAATCAGGCTTCAATTTTAAATTATTTATTTAGGCTCTCTCTGTCTCTCTGTGTGTGTGTGTGTGTGTGCGTGTATGTGTGTGTGTGTGTGTGTGTGTGTGTGTGTGTGCGTGTGTTTGTGATGCACACCATAGTACACATGTGGAGGTAATAGAACAACTTGAGGGAGTTAGTTGTCTCCTTCTACCATGTGTGTTACAGGGAAAAACCTCAGTTCTATAGGTAAAAGGGGGATTATGGTATAGATATGAATACTTTGTTTTGGAATGGATTTTCATTTATTGATACAATTTAAGGTCAATTTTGTGATATGTATATTTCTCCTCTTGTTTAGGTATTGTGTTTATATAGCTCATTTAAAAATGTAATGTAATTTAATACAGATTTTAGATAGTTACCTATAATAGTCAAAACTTATAGCTAGGTGAGTTAGGTTTTCTAGATATGCAGAGATGTATTTGAGATAGATAGGCATTCTTCAAACCTTTCAAAGACCTACAGAATATGGCATTTAAAATGGTTTAGGGTTTTTATTGACAATGAGACATAATTGTTCCTGGCAACACCACCTGTGTCAAAAAGGAAGATGGGCATCAAAAAAACACGTATGAAGTTTGCTTTCAAAAGAACAAGACTAACCATTTGGACAAGATACTGCTCTTGTCTGGACTTTGTTTGACTTTGTGATGTATAAACTGGACATACAGGACCCACAAAAAAGTGACTACTGATTCAAGATGGACATTGCTACAGAGTTTCTGCTTCATGGAAGAGTCTGCCAGACATTCTACAGGACACAGAAAAAAGTGACTAACAAACTGCCAATACAAAAAGACAGTTTAAAGTTTCCTGCTTTGCTGAAGAGTCTGCCAAACACATTATGGCCTATGGGCTAAAGATGAAAGATTACAAAAGAACTTCAGGTGACCAGGCAGTGAGATGTCTCTGTCATTTCTAGAGTTTATATATTATCCTTCTGTGGTCTTTGATGGAGTTAAAGACAAATAGTTATGGTTATAGTTTTCCTTAGTTAGGTTTAAAGATAAGTTACATATAGGACTTTAGATTCACAAATATAGGATAGATGATAGAATAGTTTCTTTTAATCTTGCTAAATGTTAATGGACTAAATATTGTTAACTGTGATTCTTACTTGATAACTGTTGTGTTATATATTTTGCTATGTTATGGTTAAAACTCTTCTTTTTATTTAGACAGAAAAGAGGAGATGATGGGAGATGCCATTATGTATATATGCTTCTCATACTGTTGACCAATAGGAAAGCAAGATAGGAGGGACTAGGAGACAAGGAGAAAAGAGGAAGTAGTAAGAGGGGAGCCAAGATGGAGAGTCGGGAGAAAGCATTATGCCAGCAGGCTCCCTGGTAAGAAAAATACATAGATCAGCAGAAATGGGTTAATAATTAAGATAGAGCTAGCCGATAAGAAACAAGTAACCGGGCCAACAGAATTATATCTAATACAGAGTCTCAGTGTATTAATTGGGGCTGGTGCGGCAGCGGGACAAGACCAGCGGCGGCAGACAGAAAAACCGTACACCTTACAACTTACTTAATGTCATACTGATTTAGGAACATTCTATCAAGAAATCAGAAGGTATTAATCATGGCTTTATTAGTTACCACCTTAGTACAAAACAGATTGCATTCCATTTATACCGGAAATAATTATCAAGAATAAGACTGTTTGAGCTCCTAGTTAATACTTCTGACAAGATACTCTGTATGAAAACTGTGAAATAATTTCAAGGATTGTATGGAAATATCAGTAAGAATAACCTCCACAATCTCATATATTTGAACATTTGGTATTTTGTTGGTGAAACTGTTTTCAAAAGTAGGAGGTACAGACTTGTGGGAGGAGGTGTCACTGGAGATTGGTTTTGAGCTTTCAGAAACACAAAATAGGCCCAGGTCATTCAGTCTGTTTGATGTCACCCTCCTTCCCTCCTGCCCTTCTCCCTTCCATATCTCCTTCCCTCCCACTTGCCCTTCTTCCCTTAAACTTATAGATAAGATGTAAGCTCTTGGTTACTGCTCCAGAACCATGTTTACCTGCTTCTTGAGTTGTTTTCTGTATGATGGTTATAGACTGACCCTCTAAACTCTTTCTTCTATAAGTTACCTTGGTCATGATATCTCTTCTCAGCAACATGAACCAGTTTTTAAGGAGTGAGTGTACAAAGAATAGCCAAGGAGGATTAAAACATAATTTTAGGTAGCTGGAGCATATAAGAGCAGTGTAAAATGATCTGTGTCACAGGATGTACTAGGAGAGACCTTATCCGCATAGACACACTAGAAGATGCTGATATAAACACTCAGCAGAAAAACTGACTTATGTGTTGAAAGAGAAGAATTAAAAACCACCTCAGACGCACAGTAACAACTTCATGGGTTACTTTTGAAAAGACAGCATAAAAGAAGTTCTCTGTGATGGCACAATTACAATAAAAGATAAATAAGCTAATCATGGAAGAGAAAATTGAAAATTTCCCTCAGATTTCTAATGTATTAATTAAATAAATCCATGTACTACATATGTCTTCTTTATCTTTAGGAGTAGGCAGAACTCTAGATAATAGTGATTCATAAATTAGGGTCTTATATTAAGATTACATTAAATCTGTAAATTAAATTAGAACCAGTAGGATATATCAGTCATGATTTTTCTCACATATTTTTCTCTTTTTATAAGACTTTGTAAAAATTTTTGAGATTATAATTTAATTACTATATTTTTTAAAATTTCCTTTAAATCTCTACAAACATGCTCCCTGCTCTCATTCAAATTCATGGCTTCTTTTTTAATAGTTTTTATTGCATGCATATATATATATATATATATATATATATATATATATATATATTTGTATATTTGTAAATGTCTTTTTGCATACATTAACAAGTATAACCAAAATATATAATCTTAACTATAACCTGTTCAGTTCATATAAAGTGACTTATAAGTGCTTTCAGGGCTAATGATTTGCCACTGGACAATCAATTTATAGCTCTTCCCTGTGGAAAACACCTCTTCTGCTTCCAGCTTTCCATAGTTGCCTACAGTTCTTTGTGTAGGGTTGAGGTCTCATGGGCATTATCTCATGCAGTTAAACATTCTGAGTTTTCTTCTCCATTGATGGAAACCTCCAAGTTCTTTGAATAATAATATAATGATTGGTAGGAAGAAAAATATCACCAGGAAAAATATCACAGTTAACAATTCTGTTATCCAGGAGTTGTATAAGGGAAACTGAGGATCTGAAATAGAAACTAGAAAAAGTGAAAAAATTAGGAAACTAGTAATATTGTGTACTACAGGATCAATTTTTAAAAATAACACTTAATATTCCTTTACATGTTAAAAAATGTCTCCATTTAGGGTTGAGAACTGTGATGCACACCTGTAATACCAGCATTTAGGTGTGGCAGTGTATTATTTATGATTTATTAAAGCTTGACTGAGGATTCAGAAAAGCAAAGTCAGCCTCAAGCTATAAAGATCAGGTAGTAGTGATACACACCTTTAATCCCAGCAGCCAGAAGCTAGGAGGTGGTGGTATACACCTTTAATCTAGGATCAGGATTAAGAGATAGACCAATCTCCATGAGTTCAAGGCCACCCAGGTCAGAACAAGAATGAAAATCAGTCTAAAAGAGAATTATAGCTCACACATTTAATCCCAACATTAAGGAAATATATAAGACAGAAGCAAGGTCTCAGAAGGCATTCATTCTCCTGCCACACTGATGATGGGACCATTCATTTTCCAGCCATGTTGAGGAGATGTTACAGTCCAAGGCTTGGTTAGAGCTCTTGGAGACAGGATCAGCCCATTCAGCCTGAGATAGACGTAAGAAGCTATTGGCCAACAGTTTTGATTTTCTGATCTCCAACATGAAGTTTGAATCACAATATCCGTCATTGGTTCATTTTTTATAAGGGTTACATTTAGGAGGTTGGCAGACCCACAAAACCATATCAGTATGATCTCTTAAGCAATATCTGATCAATTAGAATAACAATTAACATGTTAGTATGGTTCACAGAAATCTTACAAGGTCCTACCCCTACATGAATAATTACAAATAATTGTGGCTATTGACAAGAAAAAAATTGGACTTCTTTAGGGATGAGTCCACTGGTAAGTTATTAAGTCCCAAATAGTTAGCTATAAATACATATACATAAGAGCAATACTAAATGGACTCAACAGGTAGTATTTATGTATTATATTTATATTCTCATATAGAACAGTAAATAATAAAAAGGGATCATAAAATTGAGATGTAGGGTTGCTGCAAGAGAATATGAAGGTGAAGAAAGAATAGAAATGAGGTAATTATAGTAGTCATGTATAGAACACTGAAGAAAGTGACTTAAATTTATAAATAAATGAACAAATGAATAAATAAATAAAACAATTCCAAAGTAACTATAGCACCACAAGAGATTCCTAAGTACACCAAAGGATCTTGTACATGAAATTCAAAGTTGGAGACATTACATTTCAAACTACATAATTTTTTCAGTATTAAAGACTGAATGCAGAGTCTTATACTTACTAGGCTAACTCTATACCACTAGGCTAAATCGTCCACTCCCCAATTCTATTATAAAGATTCAGTCATGAAAACAGTATATGTAATGCTAACATAAAAACAGTTATAATCATCAATGGAACAGAAGAGAGAGCCTAGAAACACACTTGTGTATTTGTAGTCAGTTGAAGTTGACAAGGGGACCACATCTATACAATGAAAACAGAATAGTCTCCTTAATGAATGGTGCTGGGGAAACTAGGTATCCACATGTAAAGGAATAATGAGAGATCTCTGTATTACACTATATGCCAAAACTATTGAATTAATAGATTAAACATGTAAAGCTAAGGCTTGAAACCATAAGTTGTATAAAAGAAAACATAAGGGGATTAGTTGGCATTAACCTTGGCAATGATTTCTTGAACACAACACCAAAGACAGATACAAAAGAAGCAAAACTAGGAGAAACTACTGGAAGCCAATTTGCACAGCAAAAGAAACAAACCATAGTGAAAAGACAACTACCAAAAAGAGAGAAGAGGAGAGAAATTATTTGTAATCCATATATATAGTCAAAGATTAACCCATATGAAACACACAATTCAATAGCAAGTGCTCCCTTGTCCATTGTCAATGGTACATAAATTGATGCATCTTAGTTGTTTCTTACAGGGTTCTATATATACTCAACATATAATCCAGTTCAATTTACAGTTATCATTTCAAAGAAATTCTAATATCCCTGTATGGTATAAAGATTTTAGGAAAAAAAAACTCTTTGTAATCAGTGATAATTTAGAGCCTAAGATCATCTGTATTCTGGTTTTGTTGCTCCTCATATTTTCTCCTACAGGATCCTTAGGAGTGAGAAGAAGCACAGGTTAAATGAAGTTATCCAGAGGAGATTGGGTTTTGGTGGGTTTTTGTTTGTTTGTTTGTTTGTTTTTTGTTTTTCTCAACTTGGATCTCTGTGTTTACATTTTGAATGTCAATGTACTTATTTTCATTGGACAATAATTAACAGTACTTCTTTCATCACCTGGTTTTATAAATCCCAAAGCAGAATGTTGTGATTTTTGATGTAAATGCTTGGAATACCTGACTATACATATTCTTTTCCGAGGCCTGTCTAGGAAGATGACGGGAAATACAGGAATAAAGAAAGCCCCATTGGGGTCCCTATAACTATAAAATTCTCGCTTATGGTTGGGAAGTAATGCTAAAAAAAAAATGTTTCTGTGCTTTGATTAGTGATAACCTCCTCTACATGCATTTCTCTATAAGCCTCTAAAATATGGATAATTGACAAAGCATCAAAAACAATTAGTATAATAACATCAATCATTAATTTACTTTTAAATAATGCCCATATCTTAGCATAGATGTATCCATAGAAGGATTTCAAAGTTTCATGAATCTCCTAAAATTACATACATACATATATATATATATATATATATATATATATGTATGTATATATATTTCACGTTATCATAATAATTTCTATTGCTGGAAATCAGTCAGGAAAGTTAATATCTATCAAGTTTTCTGTGTAGACTGGGGCCCAACACAGTGAAACTTGACTTGGTCTCATAAATTCATGAACTCATACTGACAATTAAGTGACCACAGAAAAGACATAAAAGTTAGTCACTGGATTTGAGCATTATATTATGGACATTTTTTTCTCCTTGTAGTAGAAGGAATGGGAGAATCTTATGTCCAGCACAGCTGAAAATGCTGTGGATTCACTTAGAGCAGCCCTGGCTCTTGACATCCACAATTTTAATGCCAGAAAGTAGTCCTCTGAGCTGTCACCTAAACCACAGGTTCTCTAGGTTATGATGAAATTCTCACATAAATCTCAAGGAAACTATTTGTTGGAAAATTAGACAACTAAGAAATATTTCACAGCCACTTAACCCATTTACCTCTCTTCCGGAGTGGTAGATATACAGCAAAGAGTACTGCAGTACAGATTAAGAAACTCAGTATTTGAATAGGCTCCGAGATACATACACTGTGACACTTTTCTTGACATGCAGATGAAGACTCTAAAACAGATAAGGGTAGGATGGAGAAAGAGGAACACATGATTATATAATACCAGACTACAGACAATTCTATAGGCAAGCAAGAGATGCTGTCTCATTCCTTCTTGACCTAGTAGAGATCCATCTAAAAGTTTGGTTTGTAACTAGTGGAAATACAGAATAAGATAGAATTATTGCACTTGTAGGCCTGGACTTGAACCAGCACAAATTGAGTCTATTCTGTTTTGAGCTGAAGTGCTTCTTTAAAATGGAATTATTCTTTTAATTTTCAGGGTTTGATTTTTCATTTACTTTATTACTTCATTGTGTATTCCTTTAGCGATGATTATGGGAATTGAAAGATCATAAGTCATGTAAGTAGACACAATTCCTAAGAAAAACCATGTCTTTGGAATCTCAAATTTATCAGTGTGTAGTTCAAAATTTTTAAGATGAAAACTAGTCATGAGTCTGTTTGTGGGAACCATGGAATTGGAAGATCAATGTCATCCAGCTTTATCTGAACACTCACATAACTTAAAATCAACTTTCTTAAAAATATCTTAATTATTCTATGTTCGTCTTATCATTACCTCGTCTTATACAAGAGCAGCTGGTGTATATCACAAATACAAAGAGTATTATACATGCAATGGAAATTAAAAGGTTCATCCAAATGTGGTCTTGATTAAAGAGGTCATCTAAAAGAAAGGACAGAATGTTTTTAAAACATAATGAATACCACAAATAGCTTTATTGGTTTTGAAAATTTTTGATCCTAAACACATTTCTTCTTGTTAAAGTCCTGGAATCTAATGTCTAAGGTGTGGCCATTATACAATTCTCCTACATCAGGAGCAAAAAAAAAAAAAAAAAAAAAAAAGTCTCCATTCACACTCATTTCTATTCAAAAACAAAAACAAAAAACTACCCCCGTTTTCAGAAACAATTGGGAAATCTCATCACAATTAATAGAATTTCTCCCTTTCTCGGTTCTCTCTCTCTCTCTCTCTCTCTCTCTCTCTCTCTCTCTCTCTCTCTCTCTCTGTGTGTGTGTGTGTGTATTCCAACAGGATTTCACTCTATAGCTTAGACTGTACTCAAATTCTCAGCACATGTCATTACATCAGCCTTCAGTGATTATTCATGTGTGCTTTCCACAATTACACAAATTTTTTTCTACAGATTCGCACATAGTCATAGAAAACTTTATTTTTCCATTTATTTTCCATCTTCTAAGAGTAAAAGAGGTGACATAGAGAGAGGACCATTGCTCTCAGGATAGAAAATGATTCCATGAAGTGAGATCTAAGTTACATATTCCCAATACAGACATCCTTCTCCTACAATTATCATTAAAACAGTCTTGTTAGCTAAAGCTAATTTTTCTATACACAAGACACAAGCTTTTCCTGATTTGTCTTTGACATTCATCCATTACACCTCCTAAAACCTAGCAAAGCAAGACAAGTAGTCTGGGCTTTAGATATACTTGTTTCTTATTACTGATCTGAGTGGCTTTTGTCAACTATTATTCAGTACTATACACAAATGGCACAACACTTCTAAATACTACATGAGACTAATAAAAGTTTGCATAAAACTCATTTAGGATTCATGAAAAAATAAATTTGGGCACCAAGCAGAGTGGAGCAACCTTTAATCCTAGCATTCCAGAAGAGCCCTGAGGATATAAATACATTGGAGGCGACCCTGTTCAACTTAGCAAGTTCCAAGCCAGCCATGGCTACATGATAATACTTTGTCTCAAATCAAAAATAAACATACAAAGAACAATAAAAGTTTAAGACTATGTAGGTAAAACTGCTTGCCATGTAAACTTGAAGATCCAAGTTCAATACTTGGAACCCACTGTGGAAGAAGAAAACTCACAAAAGGAAGTGGTCCACTGACATTTATATACACACAATGGTATATGTTCACATTCACACAGGCACACAAACACACACACACACACACACACACCAATAAATGAAATAAAATTTAAAAACATGGTATTGTTGGCTATATATTCATTTCCTAGATACATATTTATAACCTAGGTTAAAAAAACATTGGTTATAAAATCAACAGCATTCATATATTCAACAGCATTCAAAATATGTATCCTATTAAACTTACAGAAGAATATTATATCTAATAAAATAATATTAAATTCAATAAAGCTGCAATATATGTGTTTATTACAGATTGCCATTGTTCACTTGCCTTCAAATACTCTCATTATAGTAAAAGGGAACTCCAGCATAATAAGCCTTTTAAATATTAATCAACTCCCTATTTTTGCATTTATGTTTTCAGATGAACTGCCAAACTTGATAATACTCACTCGCTAGGATGATACTTGTTTGCTTCTCTTCACCTGTTAAAGGGTTGAAAATCCAGCACATGATACTGCCCTGTGACCTATTTGTGAGAAGAGTCGTCTTTAAGTGGAAAAATTTAGCTTCATCCTGTGAATATGATTTTGATGACAGTGGAAGTGCTTTCCCCCTGCTGTCTCTCCACTCCATTTGGGGCTGAGGGAACCACCCTGCTGATTTACATTCTACAATGACTCCATCAGCACTAGGAGCTTGAACATGGATCTGTGTCTCCAATCCAACTGCTGGAGGAACCAAGAAAAAAGAATTAGGATATTGTCTTGAGGTTTACTTGACTAGTTCAAACAGTAGAAATGTGATAGTTTCTTCTATATCAGAAGATGTATGAATCACATTTGATTAACATGTAGGCCTAACCAGTTAGTATTTGTTATCTATCCACTTCAGAGTATATTTTTGAGGGAGCTGCATTATTTTTAATCATAACTTGAGTATTTTAATATTTTCTAGAAGAAATCATCTTCAACAAATGGATCTGAGAAAACTGCATGCTCACATGTTGAAGTATGAAATTTGACCAGCATCTGCTGGGCAGTGATGGCACACATTTTTAATCTTAGCACTTGGTAGGCAGAGGCAGGCAGATCTCTGGGTTTGAGTCCATCCTGATCTACAGAGTGAGTTCCCAGACAGCCAGGGCTATGCAGAGAAACCCTGTCTCAAAAAACAAAAAAACAAAACAAAACAAAAACAGAAAGGAAGGAAGGAAGGAAGGAAGGAGGAATCTGACCAGTATCTATCACCTTGCACAAAAACTAACTCCAAATCAACCAAAGACATAAACATGAAACATAAAACTAGAAGAAAATATAGGGCAGTTTGCTACAAACTATATGTTTAGAAAATTCTTCCTTAATAGTACTCCATTTGACCAAGGATTAAAGTTAACAACTGATAAGTGGGAATTTATAAAACAAAAAATGATTCTGCACAGATAAAGAAAAAACATCAACCAGATGAAGAGAAAGGAGGGGAGATGATTTGAGCAGCTATATATATGACAAGAGATTAACACCCAAATTGAATAAAACACACACACACACACACACACACACACACACACACACAAAGAAAGAAAAATATGAAACAACCCATTCAAAACAATGAGTCTGGGACCTGAACAAAAGTTCTCAAAAGAAAAAAAATAAATAAATGGCAAGTAATACCTCAAAAAGTGTTCATCATCCCTAGCAATTTAGGAAAAGCAAATCAAAACACCTCTAAGATTTCATCTTACTCCAGGTAAATGGCAAAGATTAACAAGAAAAAAAAAACTAAAAACCAATGCGGAAAGGGGTGTGAGGAAAAGAGGAAAAGGAAACCCTCATTCATTGCTTGTGGGATTGAAACTGGTACAACCATTTTGTAAATCAGTGTGGAGAAAGCTCAAAACGTAAAAGTAAATCTACCCTATTTCCAAGGTTTATCACTCCTTAGTACTTGTCCAACATACTTGACATCCTAACCCATACATACTTGCTCAGCTGTGCATATTGCTGCTCTCTTCATAATAGATAGCAAATAGAAACAATCTAAATGTCCTTCAACATATTGAATGAATAATAAAAATGTGGCACAAATATATTGTGAGATAATAGCTAGCTGTAAAGAAAATAAAATAATGAACTTTTTATGTGAATTGATAGAATAGAAAAGGTCATATTGTGTGAGGTACACCAAACCCAGAAGGACAAATGTCACCTGTTTTCTTTCATCAGGGGCTCCTAGCTTCAGATTTTTCCAAACATATCCTGAAATAATTGCGGAGATCAGAAAAGTAAAATCAGGCTATTGCTGATGGATGGGGGAATGGGAGGGTGGTGGAACAATAGATAAGGAAAAACCAGTGTGCAGGCGCTCAGGTTGTAAAAATGGGGAAAGAGGACCATGGTTGGTCCCAGAAGTGGAAGGTAAGTTCCCTAATGCTATAGACACCATGCACTTCAGATACAGGAACCAAAAGACCTTCAGCTGTATCTAACCCGAAAACCTCCCCGACACTAGCTTTCATGGTACTAGAAGCTTCCAAAGGAGGGAAGTAAATAACTGCCCTACTCAACTACAATGCCTTTAAACCATGAATGACCAGCACGACAAAATAACCCTAAGGATGCAGTGGTGGCATATATACCTTGGTGGTAACCTAATGCTCTCTAAGTGGTCTTAACACCCACTCAACCAGAAGTAAACCATCCTTGGTCTTGGAAAGCTAGACAACTACCCATGGTTAGTGATATTGGACCTAGGGATCGTCAAGAAGAACCGACAACTGCAACTTTCCTAAACCAACCTGCCTAACTACATTCTAAATACTTGTCCTTTTATCCACAGATAGGTGTAATCTTCACCCCTCATTAAAGAAACTTCTCTTTACAACAGAGACCATTACAGAAAATCAGAGTTTGGAGCCCAGTCCCAAAAAACACATCTACAAAACAGCTCTCATAACCTAAGGTTCAGGGGACACTGCAGAAGAGGGGAGAGACAAAATATAAAAGCCAGAGGATAAGGAAGTTTGATGTGAGACTGCATCTCCTAGTAATATAAGAAGCTGCAACCATTAAGTCTCACTAGCATGACTGCCTGAATATGAGCTGAACAAAGACAAGAACAACAGACATGCCAAAGTGGCCTAGTGGGAAGGGGATGAAAGCCCAAATGTCCTAAGCCATTCACAAAGACAACTAAGGAATGTGGAGAGCTGGAGAAATAGTCTTCCCATTGAAGAACACACCAATTGCTTACCCAATACCAAATGGTCAGTCCTGAAAACAAACATGTGATATATATATATATATGTGTGTGTGTGTGTGTGTGTGTGAGAGAGAGAGAGAGAGAGAGAGAGAGAGAGACAATACTAAATGTAAAAGGACACCATTAATTTGAAAAACATTATGAGAGGTTTATTGGAGAGTTTGGAGGGAAAAAGAGATGAAGAAAGTTATGTAATTGTACAATAATAGCAACAAAAGAAATATTTTAAAAGAAATGTTGTATTTTTGGAGCTAGTCAATGACAGTGGTTAGTATATATGGATGCCTCAACATTTGATGTTATCTTAAAATGAAATAATATTTATTTTAAATAAATAATAAAACTTTAATACTTAAAAACTTAAAATATGAAAAAAACACATAAAAAAAAACAATTTCCCTGTTTTTCAATTTATTGGGCACAAGGACACTGGTATACTATGTTCCATACACAACTTACCTGCCACACTGAGGTTCACGCTGGCCACATAACTGAAGGCACTGTCATTAAATAAACACCGGTAAGGCCCATCATCAGCAATGCTGATATTACGAATTCTGAGGGTCACATTTCCCTTCCCAATGGCCTCTTTCACAAATTCTATACGATTCTCATATTCAGGTGCAGCTTCTCCGTCTGCTCCACGGCTACCTCTGTATAGGTAAACAGGTTGGGGATGGCCACTCCTGAACCAGCGCACCTCCATATACTCCACACTGCGTGGTGGGGTCACTTGGCAGCTGAGCTCAGCCTGGCCTCCTACTCTAGCTAACACTTGTCTTTTGTGAGTGGGTACCATCAGTTTCGCTGTGGAAGAACAAAGAATACCAAAGTAAGACTGAAGCCAAACTATCTCTGTCCTGTCTCTTAACTTTGTTTTAAGAAACATACTGCCCATCACACCTAGCTGATCCAAATGTTTGGCTCTGTCTATACTCCCTGTAGTCCATCAATGTTTTATTTTTTGAAAACCAAATATTTTCATTGTATTTTTTTAAAAATATATTTGGGAAGATTCCAGAGCAGGAAGATTTGTTTCTGTACTTAAAATATAGACATATGGAGGAAGCATCATCTGGTGCAACTAGTTTGGAACTTCACAGGGCCTCAGAATTAGTCAATTGCTGGGAACTGTGATGGATTCCCTCAAAGCAAAACTTAAAATGAAAGGTTTATTTTGGCTTCTGGTCTCCTTGTCATCTCACTTTTATGGAGCTACAATGACTCTGAATTTCAGCGTGTTGGAGTTTCAGTGTTTTACTTGTTATAACAATGAAGTGATGACTTTCTCCTCCTTCAGTGCAGGATGAGTCCCTGGAAATGTATCTTAGATTCCATTCACAGCCAAAACTAATTAGAAAATAATTAATGAGTCATCTTCAAGTCCCTTCCTCCATCTGATATAGTGTTAAGCTCTGCCTTCATCAAAGAAGTTCCATGTTTCAGGGGAGGCTGCTAATCCAGAAACACGTAACTGTCAAGGATTCTGAGAATAAGTGATAGTGAGTGATCAGCCCTACATGGGACATCTATATCATCCACTTCAAGTTTCTGGGAACACTGAAGCAGAGGATATATAAAGAATAAAGAGCCAGGGCATGAGGAGATATGCAGGAAACAAAATCCTTATTATTATGACAGATGCTTGCACTCATGCCAGTGTGGCATTGGTCATTGACACAAGTGCTCTACATGATCAAATCCATCAACGTTTCATCTTGAGAGGGAGCATTCAGGAGTCCCTACCCATGTCTGAGAGTCTGTTGGCACTCAATGGTTTCTGAAGGAGGAGCTATTGTTTTGTTTTTAGTGGTGTAGCAGAGATAAGTTGTCTGTGTCCTAGTAAATAACCTTCTGCCCAATCTTCTGCAGGAAATTCTAATTACACTCAAAGGGCCATACACAAAAAGAGGGTGGAAGATGGAGTGGGACTTGTTTTGAAGAAGGAAGGTTTCATCAGGTAAAGGAATGTGTGCAAACAGGGAATGAGGTGAACATAACAAGTTCACTATACACATGTATGAAATGGCCAAAAGAATTTTGAAAAGGTTTTAATAGGAAAAGGTAAATTAAAATAAATACACTTGCCTGAAGACATCATCACTTGCAGAAAAAGACAGTATCCAGAGAGGTAAGAGACCTTAAGCTTCATCATATCTGGAAATGAGACTAGAAAGTGGTCATAGACCATGAGACATGAGGCATAGATTGACTAGACAGATATTATTGATAACTGTAAAAAAAAATAAAACAAGCTTAATACTTTTCCTTTTATGGAGTAAATCTTGCCAGTGCTTGATAGAATGTCTATGTTCTTGAACGTGTTCTCGTCAGGAGAGATCGTCTTTATCCCATTGGCTCAAACACTTGTATTTCATCATGTTCTATAACTTCAGTATATCTAGTCAGATCATAGACCCTATGGAATACCAACTCTATCACATTGCTAAATTGACACAATATTGAATTGACTCTTAGTGACTTTGTTTTCTCATCTCCCATTCAGCATCTCAGAAGCTTATATTTTCTGTAGTGATTAACACAGATAACTACAATTAGTGAAGGTGAAGAAAATAAGAGACTGAAAAAATGATTAGAGCTAAATAAATATTCCTCACTTCTCTTAGCCCCATGGCTTAGAGACCATTGTTAAAAAGGGCCAGAAACAGTAAAAGAACCAGAAGTGGTGGATGACTATAAGGAAATACCTTTTGGATACCCTTCTGGATATGCACCTAATACAGCATGTATAAAACCCAACCCATGCCAAACTAGAAGGAGGCTGGGCCCACAAACCCACCCCTGAGCATGGAGCAATCAACAATTAGTAGCCTCTTTGAAAAGAAGGGTTACATTTGTCAGAGTATAAGCATTTGAAAGTTGACCACACTCCATGGGAAGACTACAATTCCAAGAATATCTGGGAACATAAAATTGGTCTTGAAGTGAAGGGTTTTTTTTTTTTTTAAAGTAGACAAATTTGTATAAACATGGGAGGGATGGATATGGGAAGATTTGGGGGATGAATATGTTCAAAATTCATTGTACAAAACTAGAAAGTCTCAAATGACTAATAAAAAGGTGCAAAAATAAAAGAATAAAGTTTTGACAATTGATAAACTGAAACTTCAAATTTTATGCCTGTATTAGCCCTTTATACAAAACCATGCTATATATTTAAATTTTAATATTAAACAAATAATAAATTTTATATACATATAACCATATTTGGATATGGTATATTTAGACAAATAAATCACTTCAAACTTAGCTGGGTATCCTGCATTTTATCAGGTAAGCACATATCGACCTTAAAGTTATAGACATGAGTTTATTCACTGTGTCAGCCTGCCTAATCAGCCTGACAACAATGTAAGATTTCAAACAATAGAGCAATACAGGACTTTATTTAAGCCATTGCCATATATTCTAGAGGTGAGTCAAGACCGTGAGGAGGAAATCCCTGCCATCACAGAGACCAGCAAAATCCCTCTACTACTAAAGAAAGTGGAAGTTTACTTGGCCATTATGTGGTTAGTACACACACATAGAAAGTTAATAGAGTATCTTCTACTTATCTGACAAATAACACATTATACAACACTATAATAAGGTTCCATCATATGACCTACACATCATGATTTGGGCAGGTTTGTATCCAATGAAGACACATAATGAGAAATGTAATCTCTAAATGACTGGTATGATTCCAGGATCTCCCTCATTACCACCCACTGCTTTCAGAAAAATTAACCTAATGTTTGAATTTATTACGGATATTTTAAGAGAAATAAAAGCACAAGAAAACTTATACCTAGTAGCAGCTGATGACTGGAAATAACTCAACATTTTTCTGACCAAAGAATGGACAAACATGTTATATCTAGCCATATAATACATGCATCATAAAAAGTAATATGACAGATTTCTCTATAAGTGATTGTTATCAAATTCTAGAGGATACGGCTAAATTAAAAGAGTCTGATGGATTTAGTTCATATGTTATCATTGCAAATACATAAGCTTCTAGAATATGCAAGTAATTATAACTGTATATCAGTGCTTTCCTAGGGACAAAGAAAACAGAAAGGAATGATCTCCATAGCTCACCAAGACAGTTTGAGGTTACAGTTATTTTTTATATGGACTGTAGTGACAATTTCTTGATTGCAAACATACTTAAAACCTTACAAATTATTCACCTTAAATATAATGTAGACTTTGTTACATTTCAGTTAAACATCAATAAAGCTCTTGATAATGAGTGTGTTTTAAATAAACAATGTATTAATGATAAATTTTCAGTGGATATTTGTGTGTACAAATTTTATCATATATGTCTTACTATATAACTTACAATTAGTAAGCATATTTTACTAACTGGAGACACCTGTATTATGAGTGTCAAGTCTAAAAACATTGGCCCCACTATTTTCTCTCTGGGTTCTCTAAAATAATAATAATAATCTGTGGAAATGGTAAACTTTCTGAAATTCAGGTCACTCTGGAATCTTGGTAGTGACATTTAAAAGCAAATCCTTTCTTTTGAAGGACTTCACTGCCTGTCTGATTCCTAAGCTCGACATATAATGAAGAATTTTTTTTAATTAGGAAATTAGAGTTAAAGAAGTCTAGACTTACAGAGGCAGGAAACACCCTTGTTTCCAACATCCATTAAAGGTCACTTACTTGGGCTCAAGAATCCAGAGGGAATTTCTTTTCTGGTCCTTCAAAAATTCTCAGTGCCTGCAGGTGTCTCTGTATAGCTCCTTCACCATTAGTCACCAACACCTCCTTGAGCTCAGAGCTGGTACTCTCTCTCCAAGTCCAACCAGTTTTCACCTGGGTGTTGTCTACCACTCACCATTATCAAATCAGTATCAATTCACTGAGAAACCTGGAAGATTTCTATTTTGTTTCATTTTTACAAAAGCCCCACGAGCTCTCACACACAAGCTCTATATCACTTTTGAGCACTCTGCTGTTTAGAGTAGACCTGTTCCAACTTGACCTAATTGTCTCATCATGATATCTAAGACAAGGCATTTTTTTTAACATCACTTCCCTCTAAATTTTGCTTGAGAACACTAAAAACACTAATCTTGCTTTTACTGGCAGTATATGCTCTCAAAATTACCATTATAAATATAAATATTATTCAGTTCTTTTCTACTCCAATACTGAACAAATGCCTTTAATACTTCTGGATATCAGCTATATTTCCTTCCTAAATATTTGCAAGATTCAGTTTAGTGAAGGATACAGAATAGGACAGGCAATAATTGTCAAAGCCTTGTGAATAAGGTGGTTAATAGTATTTTATTGAAAATAAAAATATTTTCAGAAAATATATTCTGTTCAAGGTTCAACTCCTCCAACTTCTCCCAAATCCTCCCCACCTCCCCACCACCACCTTCTCGCTTCTCTCTCTCTTTAGAAAACAAGCAAACAAACCAACTTTAAAAGATTCCCAGCAATAGTGGAGAGGGTGTCTGAATGGGCCTTCCCCTTTAATCAGATTAGTGACTATGCTAATTGTCATCATAGAACCTACATCCAGTAACTAATGGAAACAGATGCAGTGACCAAAAGCCAAGCCAAGCTCTGGGTTAAGCTCCTGGGGTCCATTTGAAGAGAAGCAGGAGGGATCATATGAGGAGGGGAACAAGGATGGGAAAAACATAGAGACAGCTGGGAAATCTACACAGGACCTAACTAGACCCTCTAAATGTGGGTGACAGTTATGTTACTTGATCTGTTTGGGGGGGCTGCCAGTGGCACCAGGACCTACCCCAGGGGCATGAACTGGCTTTTTGGAGCCTACTCCCTATGGTGGGATACCTTGCTCAGCTTTGATCCAGAGGGAGAAATATTGTCTCAAATTGGTAAACCAGACTTTGTTGACTACCCAAAGAAGGCCTTACCCCCTCTGAGGAGAGGATAGGGGGTATGTAAAATAAAATATATTTTTTGAAAGAAAAATATATCAACAAAAAACCCGCAAGGAAAGGAAAGCACATGAAACACATCATAAAAAACATAAAATCAGGAACTGTAAGATATGTAAAATAAATAAATAAATAAATAAATAAGATAAATATACCCAACTAAAGTGATATAGGACAAAAATTCTACAAAAATACAATTTAATTGATTTTGTGTTGGCTATCTACTTTCAGGCATGATCTCTAACATTAAGTGTGGTTAATATCACAGTGATACTCCATGAAAAAAATATTTTTTCCATTACTAGACTATTTCAATTGAAGATAACTTCTTAGTTACAGTTGGAAGCTTGTGTTTACTTCCCACTTTCAACATTGGAGCCCTATTTGGCTTGAATCTGTGCAGGCCCTGTGATGCTGCTGCAGGTTCTTTGATTCATATGTGCATCAGTCTGTTGTGTTTGAAAGATACAGTTCCCTTGGTGTCATCCATCCCCTCTAGATCTTACAATGTTTCTGTCTCTTATTCTGCATAGTTCCCTGATGGGAAGATTTGATGATGACATTCCATTTAAGACTCAATGTCTCAGTTTCTCATACTCTGCATAGAATCCAGTTGTTACTATCTACTGAAAGAGAAATGTTCTCTGATGATGGTTGAGTAAGTCACTGATTTATTGGATAGCAGAATGTTGTTAGGAGTCATTACTGCTTTTCCTTTAGCAGAATAACAGCAGTTAGTTTTCCCCTAGGTCCTTGGCTCTTGGTCAGGTATCAGGCGTGGTTTCCATCTTGTGGAGTAGGCTTTAAATCCAATCATATGTGGTAGGTCACTCCCACAAAGTTTGTACCACTATTGAACCAGCACATCACACAGGCAGATCAACATTGTAAATTACAGGGTTTGTAGTTAAGTTGGTTTGAGATATCTTTGTATTTGTGCTTGTCTCAAAAAAACAAATAAAAAATAATTTGTAGTGTATATTACATGTATAATATTATGTGTTTCATTGTGCCATTTTCATTCATAATACAATGTACTTTGATCAAATTAATCTCCTCTTCTTGTGTCATCCCCACCATTTCTGTGGTCCCCTTCTATTTTCTAAACACTTCCCCTTCTAATTTCTTATCCTTAAAATAGTGTATATTCCGTGAGGGTATATTCTGTTCTAGGTATACTTCTACAAAAGATTAACATAGAGAATACATATAGAACTCAAGAATTTATATAGCAAAATAGCAAACAAACCAATTA